TTATTCGAGAATTTCGTTCGTGCTAAATTTTGAATTCGTTATTTTCAAACTTTGAATTTTTTTCGTATGAAATTTTATTCGACGAAAATTATACAACTATAAAACAAACATTTGTTTGAGAGCCATTATAGAAATAACAGTTTTTGCAAATTGGATTTTCGGCTTCTAGTAAATCTATTGTTCTATTAAAAATATTGCTAGCTATAATTAAAAGAGAATATGATCATAAAAATAAAAACAACAAAATGAACTATCTCAATTATTTGATATATTAAGATGCGTTGCTTTTTCTCTTGTACATTTTTTTTTCTTTTCATTTTCAAGCAACTAATTTATCACTAAAATAACTTAAAAAGGAATAAATTAATCTTTTTCAAATGTTTGATAAACGAATTACCTTAATTGTAAATTAAATGATTGATTTTTTTTAGAGCCAAATGATTTTTTTAGTGCTTAAAATGTATTTAATTACATTTAAAGTATCTGTAAACTAATATCAGATATTTATTTTTCCGAAAACAGAGATGGCGAATATCCATGCATTAAATTTTGAAAAACATTGCCTCTGGAGGGTCAAATTTTTTTAATAGTCGAAAAAAAATTTGAATTTTAAAGTATCAAAATCTTTACATCATTTTAAGGAGTGTAGTTTTAAAAAGAAAAATGAAAAATTTTAATAAAATTCGTTTAATAGTTCCGTAGCAAATGAATTTTAAATAAAAAAAAATTTCTAGGAAACTATTCTACCTATTTCTTTCAAATTGTCTGCTCTTTAAAGCGACAAATATCAGAAATTGTATTTCCCTCAAAGGTATGTTGTTTATTCATATCTAAGCGATCATTTATTCGCTTAATTTAAGGCTAGGCTCTCGGACGATTGAGTCATAGAGCTTGAAAATCCAATTATTGAATCAAAAGTTATTTACGGTGTTCCGTTACAATCTTACTCTTGTGCGCATGTGTCTGCGCATTTCTTTCGTATGCTCAAGGACGATTGAATATGGCGGTTCACTGCAATGGAAAGATATTCAAAGGAATTATCAAAAAAATTCAAAGATTGAGAGTAAAACATTACTTTACCTTAACGACTAATAGAAAAGCAGAGAGGGCCGGGATAGCCTGGTTGGGACCATGACCGAGAGGTAATGGGTTCGATACCCGCCGACCGAAGACTCCCCTTGTAATAAATGGTGACTGATGCACGTTAAATCTCTCGAGTNTGGCGGTTCACTGCAATGGGAAGATATTCAAAGGAATTATCAAAAAAATTCAAAGATTGAGAGTAAAACATTACTTTACCTTAACGACTAATAGAAAAGCAGAGAGGGCCGGGATAGCCTGGTTGGTAGGGCACTGGGACCATGACCTAGAGGTAATGGGTTCGATACCCGCCGACCGAAGACTCCCCTTGTTGATGCACGTTATCCCGAAGACTTGACTGATGCACGTTAAATCTGTCGAGTTACAAAGTCCCCCATGTTCCCATAACAAATCATACCTCTGGGGGTACTGATCCAGGAGTTTCCTTGTCTTTTGGATTGGGTTCAAAATTGAAAGGCTACGGAGCTGAACATTAGTAGTCGTAAATCCAATATAGGGTCGGCTGTACTACCACGGTAATAAAATAAATATAAAATAGAAAGGTAGAGCCATGATGGCTGACGGGATAGAGCGCTCACCTTCCACTGAGGTGAACCAGGTTCGAATCCCGGCGATGACTGGTCGATAGGAATTCCGCATCCGGCTTGCACCAACCACAGTGCTGACGTGAATATTCTCAGTGGTAGACGGATCATGGGTTTGACTCCTCTGGTCGTCAGGCTAACCGTGGGAAGTTCTCGTGGTCTTCCTCTCCATGTCACGTAAATGCGGGATTGTTCCATCAAAAAGTCCTCCACGAAGGCGCCCAATACTTGATCCAGGAGTTCCCTTGTCTTCTGGATTGGGGTACAAGGCTACGTAGGTGAACGTTAGCAGTCTTAAACCCAAAAACTGGATCGGCTGGCCAACGGTTATAAGAAATAAAGTAAAATAGAAAAACAATCGGATAAAGATAAAATTCATTAAAACAATTAAAATAAGAAAAAAAATTAAGTTAGTTCCTGTTTAGCTCAACAAAAAAATTTCTATTTTAGTTACTTTTTATAAACTAATTGCAATTTTGCAACTATAGGTAATTAATTTATTTTAATGAATGAATTAATATTTGTAAAAAAAACTGTATTAAAATCAAGTTACAAGTTTTAAAAAAATTGTAATTGAGCTTGAGTGGATGACTAAAAAGTATTTTATTAACTATTGAAGATTCGAACAAGATATATAGGAAGAGTGTGAACTAATAGTAAGAATTGAAAGAGAAAAAATAGCATTTGCAGGAAAATATGACAATAAATTCAGATGAAAGTATTAAAAGACTTCGGGGAAAAAGTTTAGTAAGCAATTTTTAACGTTAGAACATCTGAAGAAGACGAAACAATAACAGTTTCATAGGCTGTTATTCCAATGAAACTCATAACTCCTCCCTCCTCCTCCCCCTCCGACACTGCAATTACTTGTCTTTTTGGAGAGAACTTTACCTCCCTAAGTAGATCGTAAATTGTTTATTTTTTTTCTTTTGTCTATGTGAGAGACGAAACAACTCAGCTGTAAAAGAAACATGGAATAAGCACTAATTGCGGGTTGCTTGAAAAAGAAAGAATAATAATCCCGCCAAGGAAGGTGGAATCGAAACCTAAAATGAACGCCAAATTCGCCAGTCATCCTTTTTTTTTTTTCTTCTGGGAGAAGATGAGCATAGAAGCTGTCTGGAAAAAAAAAAACATTTTAAAATTAGCCGGGTATTTGTTAGATATTCATGAGCTCACATACTTTAAAACTGATTAAATAACGTACAGTACGCAAAAAGAAGAAGGAAAATGAATAACTTTTGATCTAGTGATCGGATCTTCATGTACTGGGACTCAAACTTTTTGAAGATGCAACCTGGGATTCGCTAATTAGAGCGATAGATAATTTAAGTTAATTACTTTCTCTCAAATAAACATAACTTTTTTTCCCCACCGGATTCCTGACATCCAAAATACCGAGCCGTGATAAGGATAGAGCGTTCGCTTTCCAATAAGGAGAACCAGGTTCGAGTCCCTGCGTTGGGTCATTGATATAAATTCCGCATCCGGCTCGCACCGACCACATGAAATATCCTCAGTGGTAGACGGATCATGGGTTAGAATTCCATTGCCGTGAGGCTAACCGTGGGAGGTTTTCGTGCTCTTCCTCTCCCTGTAACGCGAATATGCGGGCTATTTCCACCAAAAAGTCCTCCACGAAGGCACATTTCTCCCAATACTTGATCCAGGAGTTCCCTTGTCTTCTGAATTGAGTTCAAAATGACAAGGTGACGGCGATGAACATTAGTAGCAGTAAACCAAAAAATTGGGTCGGATATTCAATGACGGTAATTAAAAAAAAAAATTTGAAATTAAAGTACCGTAATTTGGAAAATATTTTGACTAAAGATTGAAAGTTTAGCCCCTTTAATGTTACATATTTCGTCCTATCTAGATAGTTTTTCAAGCGTATGTGTGCACAAGTATTAAATACTTTTATCCAAAGGTATTTCCATGCAAACAATACTAAGTATACACTACATATTTATTTATATATTTGTTTTATTCAATTCTTACTATTAGTTCACGCTCTCCCTATATCTGGTTCAAATGTTCAATCCTTCATAAAATACTTTTTTATTCATCCACTCAAATTGAAATATACATTTTTTTAAAACTTGTAGTAAATCACTCTTGAAGTTAATACAGTTTTTTTTTTCAAATATTAATTCATTTATGAAATTTGATTAATTAATTTTAATTTTATCTGTAAGAAAATTTTTTAATTATTTAATAAAAAGTAACTAAAATAAAAATTTTCTTTCTTGATCTAAGTAGGAATTGACTTTTAAAAAGAAACTTATATTACTTGTTTCATTAAATAGTAGACGAAAATATTTTGAGGTTCACATTTATATATTTTGAGGGTCAGAAATCCACGTTTTTGTGACTGCAATTATAATCCCCCCCCCCCC